TTTCAAAATGTTCTAATACTTCTCAAAGAGAGGGAAATTTGAGTTGAAGATATTATTGTTCCACACAGCATTTTCGGATTTTAAGTTAAAACGATTAACATATTTATTAGAGCACATGTGAACAAGTAGATTTAAAAAATTTTGATGCATCACTTGAATGGAGTGTATGCTTATCGTGTATTTAAATTGTGCATTTGCAAAGTTTTGGTGCATTTGCAGTATACAGCTGTAAATTTTCAATAGATCTGCAAGTGCACTTGCACATTTTGAAATATTTACATGACGGGTTTAAAAAGTTCTCATTCATGACATTTGCACACTTCTTGATGCATTTTTATAAAATATGAAAGCTATCTACTATTGAGTGCACATAATTTGAAAATATCTTAATTTTGTTATTTACACAAATGTTTTTGTCATCAGGATGCATGCATTATTTCATTTTGAGCTTTTAATAATTGCATTATGTTTGCTTGCAAGTACCTGTTGTGGATCCGATTATGACTTAGGAATTGGTTGTGTGCTTAACATTGTAAATCACTTGCATTTAATTCAAATTTTGTTCAAGTAGACTCCATGGGAAGTGGTTCTTTCATCTTTAAAAAAAGTTTCTCATTTAGACAATTTTCATATGTAGATGTAGTTTAATGTCATAAGTGTTCTGAATAGTTAGGGAGAAGTCCTGCAAGTGCTCATATGCCGAGCAATCAAGTCTTGTTCATGCTCACAATTGAGGCTATCAAGTCTCCTGTTGTTATGTATTTTTTTGGTAAATTTTGGTTCCTGCATGCATGCGTGGCATTCTTTGATATTTCATTTTTGCAGTTTTACTATTGTATTTGCAGTTTGATCATGGTGTTAAGTCAAGAAAGTTATTTTAACCATCTCTTTTGAGTTCTTTGCAAGCACAGTTCACTGAAAATTTTTCAGCAACTTCCCGACATTCCATATAGGGGGCATTGGGGGGAGTGTTAAGCCTACCCATTACACTTAAAAGGGAGCAACAAAACTTATATACTAATTTTCTTATCACGTTGGAACAAGAACCTTCATCACCTACATTAGAATACATAAAAGTTCCCAGTCGTATTGAAATATCGTGCATAAGTATTTATATACTAGTTTCCTCATCATGTTGGAACAAAGTGCACTCGTTGTCATATTTATTTTCAGCCTTTTACATTTTTACCTCATGCACGAGGCATCTTTGTTGGTGCTGATACAAAGCGACAAGATTTGTGAGTGTGAAAATACAAAAATCTTCTCTTATTTTCATTTCTCTCTTCTTCTTTTTTTTCTATATTTAATTTTTTTTTATGTTTTCTAGGTATAAAGAGAAAGAGCGAGAAAAAGAGAAAGGGAGAAGGAAAGAGAGACGAGGGAGAAACAGAGACTAAAGGGGGTGAGGGAGAAGTAGTCATTAATGGGATGACGAACTTGATGGCGAAAACTTGCACAAATAATCCTATTTGAGTATTTCAAATGCTCCCCTCTTACATTAAAATTGAATTTTCTAAATTTCAATATGCAACATCGAGTAAGGCGTCGACACCTCTAAAATGCGTATAGCAGCCTTGGGAAGCAAGCGACTGCCCCAAGAAGAGTGCTACCGCCTTGAGAAGCAAATCACCACCTCGAGAAGCATGCATATTAAATTTTAAAAGCCTGCATATGCTCCGATAAAATATATCAGATAAAAGTAACGTTTGAGATTGCTACACATGTCAAAAGTGAACCTGAATTCAAGTATAATCCTCCTATTCAAATAGAATGGAGTTGACAAGACTTGAATACGATCGTGAAAGGTTCACTACTTAAAGCATAGAAATCGATAATAAACCCAATCTTTTGTTAATCTGCAAACAGAATTGACAAGGTTTAAATAATAAATATATAAGCTATTTTAAATCCCCGATGATGGGTGTGTTGAATGTTTATATCAACCGGAGGGGACTCTACATTTTCAAATGCCTCCAAATGCTCATGAAATGCAACTATTTCCAAATAGCTATAATAAATCCCTGATGATGGTTGTGTTGAACGTTTATGTCAACCGGAGGGGATCAAATATTCAAAGTGCCCTCAAATTTCTACAAAATATAAATATTTTCAAATGCCAAAGTCGCCCCAATGATGGCCGTGTTGAAAGCTAATATCAACCGGAGGGGACTTCAAAACATGCATATTTGGAACAAAATCTTGATAAATTTTAAAATATTCAAATAAAATTTATTATTTAAAACTTAAAGCAAAATTCCATCCATCATCCGCAAACGTTTGTTAAGGATGATAAATTTCATAATAACTTCAACTCACAAAGAGCAAAATATCTAATTGAATGTATCACTGTGATTCATTCTCAAATGATTTCTCGCCAGCGGGGACGTGGCATGTGCCCTTTAACCGGGTGGTTTTGCTGCAAAAATAGCACCACTATATCACGGTTACGGTCAAAGCCCCTATGCTCTCCAATGGTTAAAAGCCCATTGAGTAATGAATTATATGGTGCACTCAATAAGGCATAAAGCTTTCTGTTAGCTAAGGTTGACTAAAATTTGTCTCCTTAAACAAGCATCCACCCCATGTATACAAAATCCCCTTGGACGAAGCAACCCATGTCTGCCGACAAGAATCCTTCTGTTAGGTTGGGTCGACTACCTCCTCTGACTAAGTAGACTAGGGACCACGATGACCCGGGACGACGGAACCATGGGATCTTGATCAGGCTCATCATCATTCCCCCCACCATCCGCTTTAAATATAAAAATAATAAATTTATAATTCCAATTTCATATGCTGCTATTATATGCTAGGTATTTCATACCTACTTAATGACTAGCCTTAATCGAAAGTGCTCTCTCGTGATCGGGAGGGATAATTAATCATAGGTGCTTGCGCCTATGGGAAACCTAGAACCAGATTTTGAAGTCCTCACAAAATGAGGGCGAAATCTCTGGGTAGTGTTTTATCCCAAAGTTCATCTGCCTTCTGAAAATTTGACCTGGAACATCGTTAAAACTCTCCTATTCAGGGGAGGCCGGGGTACTAAATTTTTGGAGCCCACAGAGAGCAACACGGCATAGTTTCTAGGAGGGAGACAAGAAAAACCACGTAGGCTTGGGTAAGAGAAAGTGATGGTTTCAGAGCCGTCCAAGAGTAGTTTAGGATTTTTTTATTTATTATTTTTTTAAATGGGGCCATACAATATGGTACGTGTGCAGCCCTTAATTAGTAGAGCCATAAGCAATGAAAATTTGGGATTTTGGAAGGGATTTGGTCCGATATGAGCAATTGTATGGATTTTATAAGAATTTATAATTTTACTTTAATTGATTAAATGATTTAATCAAAAGAAATAACATAAAATTAATGTGTATGTCAACTCATAATTTCTTGTCAATTGTCATTCACACATGTCAATTTAATCATCTTGTGCATAAGTAAATTTTGCATAGTAGGAAAAAGGTTTGATGTTGTTGTCGTGTGCAAGTAAATTTTGCGTTTAAACTTCTTGTAGTGGATAGGATAATATGGGTGTCTATGTCAGATAATTTCAACATTCTGAATATGCTGACGTGGTCTATTTTATGAACAGATGATGATTAGGAGATTTTAGTTGGATCAAGTCATTTCAAATCAAACTTGCATGGCATTGTCGTCTACCATTTCATGTCTGATTGAATTAATCCTGGGATTCTTTCTTGATAATTTTGACTCTCCAAATGCTTCTGTGCAATTTGTTTTGTGAAATAGGTGAGGTTTGGATATTTTGCATGCAGGCAAGTATTTTGAAACAATTTCATGCAACAAGGCATCCATAATCCATCACTCTCTTCGTGTTTGATTGGATCGAGTTATAGAGCGGGCATCAAGGTCAACAATTCGCTTACTATGTGAATTGTTAAGTACAAAAAGTTTGCAGATTGGATGTGAAAAAATAACGAGGTGGAATTTTTTTAACTTTGTGATAGAAAATGCAAAAGATAAAATTCAAAGTTCTTAAGGATAAGAACCCAAAATAAAGGAATTTTTATTGCCTCCTCCCACCTGACGCATCTTTACGTTCGGTATGGCGTATTAACGCGACACCTGGCATTCTACTTTACCCGATACCCGACCCGGCGGAGAGTGGGTATATGGCACGTGCGAAATTTAAAAATGACGGCCCGACCAACGGACCCGAATATTATAGCGCGGACCCGAAAAAAACTGTTTTGTTTTCAAACAAACTTTACCGTGCCTTCATCTTCTCCAACCGACGCTTCTTCTTCCATTTCAGTGAAGTTTCTAGCCCTGCATTTACGATGCCTCAGGTTAGTTCCTTCTTCTTCCATAATTATGTTAGGGTTTACCGAGCGGTAACGAGCAGTTTACCGACCGATACTGCTTTGGTATTAACCTATAATGGTAGTTATAGCTTGGTTAACAGCTCGGTAGAGCTTGCTACCGAGCTCTACCGAGCATCATTGAAGTCGGTATTGCTAGGTATTTGCCGACAATGGTGGGCAAAATACCTATAATTGGTAGCACTATTCTTCTTATGTAATATTTAGGGTTAGGGTTTACCTAGCGGTACTGCCATGAAAGAACAGAATGAGTTAATAGGTACCGAGCATTCATCGGTATTGCTCGGTATTGCCTCGGTACCGAGGCGCAACGATCATAAAAATTAGTCGGTATTGCTCGGTACTGCTCGGTACCGACCTGTACCGAGCAGCACTAACAGCCGGTATTACTCGGTATTTGCCTAATGTATTTACATCACAATTTGGTCCTCTCCACAAAGGATATTAACGCAGAGGTTCAATACCTTCCAACTCCCTAATATTGTACGTTTGTCTGAGATTCCATCTCATCCTTCCTCCTTTCATTTGTCTTATATTAAAAGAAAGTAAGAAAAAAAATACTAGGATGGAAACAAATAGTTACGTCCAGCTTTCACTAAAAAGAAAAAAAAAACAGCAAATACTAATATCATAATGAAAGAAAAATTAAGTTACCTCTCGCAGTACCCTGGTTTAACATGTTTCCAAGGTACAGGATTTTCTTCATTATTTCCTTGAGTTTGTCAGAGCTCCTTATCTAGTAAATCATACGTCATGAATTATTACAAAATGATAATGGAAGGAGAAAAGGCCGATTATCCGTTAGGATGATAAAATAACACTACCTGCTCACATGCCGAATCAATGGTGTTCAAACTCTTTCGCAGATCAGCAATCTGAAAATAACCACTAAATTGAATCACAGTAAATTCCGTGAACAAAACATATGAAGCTGACATGAACCCAACCTGCTGATGAAATTGAATCTTGAAAGAGAATACTCTTAACTTGGATTCAACACGTGGAACCTTCATTAGCTCCAAGAAAAACTGCAATATGACTAATAAAGTATAAGGCCTGTGCTTATAACAAGTTAAGCTTTAACTGATCTTACTGACAAACCAAGTAAATTATACTGAGTTCCAAATAGGTAATAATCCTGATCAGGCAACGCATAGTCATTATAAAAGTAAAATAACAATTTCCAACTGCTTAAAACCACAATTTCTGGTCCCAAAACCACATAAGACAGGGCAAGTTTTGATATTATATGGATAGTTCTCTCCAAAGCCTATGCCAAAATTCATTTACTGAGTCCAAATTGAATACTTGCTGAGAAGTATGTACGAAATTGTTAGGATAGGAGACGTCTCATAGCTTGATAGTGAGAAGTTTGTAGACAATGATTATAAGATGTGTGAGGCTGATGAGGTATTTAAAAGCAATGTGGATACTTTTGCTGAATTTATAGCTACTACAAAGAAGGAAGATTGGAGTATGCAATGAAAACTTAAATTAATTGTTGAACAAGAATTATTGTGAAGTTGACTGCATGAAATCCAATGAAAAAGCTAGCATTCATAACAGCAAAGAGAATGACCACACAAAACGGCTAGTTTAAATTAAAAATTAGAGTTTGAGAGTCAGAGTCTTCACGTGGGAATATTGTTCAGAAGAATATAAATAAGTTCTGTAGAACTAGTCAATTTCATAAGGAAAAGCAAAAAAGCTCTTAAAAAAGGACAAGAAGATGCATCGTTATTTATGAAGACCTAATTGTCCTTTTCTCTTGTACATTTCAAAGCAAAACGGAAGACATTCATGGCAGATAAGGTTGTTATAGGAGCAAACATAATCATGAAGTTATCATAACACCACCTTGGACTCTACAATTATAGCCAAGAAATTTGCAACTAAAGTTAAAATTAATCCAGTACGCAAGTCTAAATTTTTTAGAAGAAGAGTAATTGATGAGTTGAAGTTGCATTTTTGAAGTCACAAGCAAGAAATGCTGTCAATAATGCTTGAAAGTTTGTTCACATGAAAAAGGAAGATCAATTCAAAAAGATATGAAATTATTGCTTTAAACTTATAAAAACAAATCCAAACTTAACAATATGTGTGCAAACTATAAGGGACATATACTTGGAAGGTTGAAAGACATTTACGAGGATGTATGTTTTCTATGAGGCAAGCAAAAAAGGCTTCCTTAGAGATTGTAGGCCAATCATAGGAATTGACAGATGCTTTCTGAAGGGGCCTAAGGGTTGCAACTATTAAATGTAGTTAGTTCAAAAGGTAATAATAACATGTTTTCAATAGCATAGGCTATTGTTGAAAATGAAGCAAGAATTGAGAGTGGTCCTGGAAGTTATTCATCTCAGATAGACAGAAGGGTCTAATTCTTGCATTTAAGAATGTGTAAATATTGTGCGTCACCTGCACCAAAAATTTAAGCTCGCCGGATTAAAAGGGTTTCCATTAAAGAATGCCATACGGGTAGCTACTAAAAGTACGAAAGTTAACCAATTCACCTACAACATGGAAGAATTGGCAAAATTGGATCCAATGCTTATAAATGGTCGCATGAGAAGCAACCAGGATAGTGGTCATATTTAACTTAGTTACATCTCTAAATATGATGTGTTACTCAATAACTTTTGTAAATGTTTTAACTCTATCATCTTTAAAGCAAGAGAAATGTTGACCCTAATACTAGTGTCGGGTCGAGTCGACTGCACAAGGTGAGTCTCAAAATCAAAAAAGCATGAAATTGCGCATAATTCACCCGACGTGTGTCGACCCAAAACCAAAAAACGCCGAAACGACCTCCGTTAGCGAAACGGACAGCGCCGATGCGTCCGGAGCAACGGAAACAGCTAAAATCAACACCCATATTGGTGGGGGTCGACGGTCGGCGAAAATTTTAATTTTTTGGCGCGCGAATCGAGACGACGACGTGT